CCTCTCTAATGATTAGCAGATGATAGAGAATATCAGAGTTTAAATCAGTTGCACCCTAGTTTTCAAACTTACTACTCTTCAGCATTTTGGAGAAGCCCCTGACAACAGACTTCCTAATCCAATACCTTTATGATTTCCTGAATACAGAGTGTTGACTGTGGATCCAAAAAAGATGAAATCACTGATAGCTTCAATCCTTTTTGCACCTATCATAATGTTGACTGTTGTTTCTGTAGTGAGAATCTTTGTTTCATTATTTTTTTTTTTAATATTGGTTTACTTAACAATGTTTGTATACATTGTGTTTCACATTATCCTTCATTCATACTATGTTTCATATACTGTGTTTCCTTGCATTATGTTTTATAAAATGGCTCACCCTTTGTACCTCGCCCACCATTAGCTAAGAAATAAATGTTGGAGAGGCTATGGAGAGGTGGGAACTCTCATACAATTCTTGATGGGACTGTAAAACAGTACAACCACTCTGGAAGACATTTTGGCATTTTCTCAAAAAGTTGAATATAGAAACTTTGTATGAGCCAGCTATTCCACTACTAGGAATATATCCAAGGAAATTAGAACTGATACTCAAATGGGGATCTGTACAGCAATGTTCATAGCAGCAATATTCACCATTGCAAAAACAGGGAAACAGACCAAATGTCCAATCACAACTGAATGAATGGAGAAATTGCAGTACTTTCACATAATGAAATACTATGCAGAATTATGGAGCAATGATTTTGAAAAATACTACATAACTTGGGAGAGACTGGAGAGCATTATATTGAGTGACCTTTGTTTTCTTGATCTTTCTTTCTTGAGATGTCTTTGATCTTTAGCAGTTAGTGTTTCATATCCTCTTCGCTTTTCAGCAAGCAAAGTTGTGTCATCTGCATAACAGATTTTTTATTTTTCCTCTAATCTTGATGTCGCATTCTTCATAGAGTCCAGTTTTATGAATTATTTGTTCAGGATACAGATTGAATAAGTATAAAGAAACGATACAGCCCTGCCTTATACTCTTCTTAATTTTATGTAGACATTGTTCCTTTGCTCTGTTTGAATAAAAGTCTAGGTACAAATTCCATAAAAACACAAATAAGTATTCTGGGATTCCTATTTTTCTCAATGTTAATAACTATTTGTTATGATTTACACAGTCACATGCCTTTGAATAGTCACTAAAACACTAACAGATGTATTCTTCTGGTATAGTCTGCCTTCAGCCATTATTTATCTGACATTATCAATGATATTCTAATGTTGGGTAACTTCTAAAACTAGCCTGAATTTCTGGTAATTACCTGTCAATGTATTGTTGTAGCCAGTATTAATGATCTTCAGCATTTTTCTTGCATGAGCTATTAATGATTTTTTAAATAATTTCCCCACTGTTTGATCACTTTTCTTTTGAATGGGGACTGATATGTAACTCTTCCAGTAAGTTACCAGTTAGCTGTCCTCTAATTTTCTTGGCATAAGCTGGTAAGCACATCTAGGACTTCATATGTTAACTGAAACATGTCAATTGGTATTCCATCAATCCCTGGGGACTTATTCTTTGGCCGTGTCTTCAATGTAGCTTGAACACCATCTTTCTTTACCATTGGCTCTTGTTTGATACTTCTTAAAATTTTCAGGGTCAATAACTTTTTTTGGGTACAAGCAATTTTGTGTATTACTTCTATCTTCTTTTGGTGTTGGTAAGAAATTTTGCTGCCAATTCAAAGGTAAGCAATTGTAATCCACCAGATGTTTCACAGGAGAAAAATGGGCAGTCTCCTCCCTAGTCTGCCTCTGAAAACCTGCTAGAGTGACAGCTCAGAGCCAGCTCTGACTTCATGGTACTAAAAAACAAGAGGGCTCAGCAGATGTAAAATGATGTAGCAGTGTTTCTATCAAAATTGTAACCCTGGAAATTCTATGAGACAGTTCTACTTGCATTCAAACTCATTGTCATGAAGTGAGAAACTACTCATATCTGACCCTGAAGCAGGTGTTCAAGGTTGTAATTTGCACAAGTGGAGACTGTTCATATTTCTCCTGAGGAGCTACTAATGGATTCAACCAACCAGAGGTGTATGGCCTTTGGATTAGAGGCAGAAATCCCGAATACGCCCCACTAGAGCTCCTACTCTGTCCTACTGGGTTGTTATTAGTTGAAATTGACTTGACAGCAATTTGATTTTTCTTTTCTTTTGCTTTTGTTTGCTTGGAGTAATTCTTTTGATTTCATTCTTAAAGGTATAATCACAGAGTCTTTAACAAATTTGAACAGTTGCTGTGTTTGAACTGTCAAATTTTTTATTTAAATCTGAGTACTTGTAAAATAGAGTTTGTCGATGTGTTCAAAGCTAATCATTGAAAAGAACATGTATTTTCTTTTTCTATTGTAAAGCAGTAGTTGTTTGTCTATGCTCTTATTTAGGTTGAAAACACCACAAAAAAATCTCTTGCCATCAAGTCAATTCTGAGTGCTTAAGCTCTCAGCTGCTAATGTAAAGCCAACAGTTTAAACCCATGAGCTTCCCCATGGAGGAAGAGATTGCAATATGCTTCTATAGTTATTGAAGTCTTGACACTCTTCAGTGTTAATTCGCTTCTGTTTTACAGAATCACTATAAGTTGAATTTATGACTTATGCATAGAATATTACTATAAGGGAGATTTGTCAGACAAAAAAATAGAGAAACTTAATTCTATTAAATATTTCCATTCAGTTTCACTAAAAAAAGGTTAATGGATTTGTTTCAAAGAAAATCATAGTCTAAGTAAATTTCCTTTCAAAAAAACTTATTGACATGAACTCTGGAGTAGAGAACTTTAACATTTAATTTTTATTATGACCTCAGGAGGTGAGAAAGCCAAATATACCCCAGATAACATCATCTGATGTTTTGTCAATGAATTCAAAGTTGAGTCTCCTAAATTAATGTATATCAAAAAGTAAGCTTTTCCTGAAGGAAGACATTATAGTTGGTAAAGACTCAGTAATAAAAAGAAGCCTCTCAGCAAGACAGACACAATGACTAGAACAGTGGGTCAAACATAGCACCAATTGTGAGGATGGTGCACAGTGTTCTATTCTGTCATGCAGAAGGTTTCTGTGAGTGGGAACCTACTTGAAAGCATCTAAGAACAAACATGCAAAACAACATGTTGTTGTTGTTAGGTCATTGAGTTGTCTATGACTCATAGAAATCCTGTGAACAACAGATCTGAACCTGTCTTATCTTCTGTAATCTTCATTTTCTTTGACATATTTGAACCCATTGCTACAGTCACTGTGTCAAGCCATCTGGTTGGAGGTCTTCCCATATTTGACTTACTTTCTACCTTTCCAAGCATGTCCCACTCCAAGGAATACTGTCTTCTAGAAACACGCCCAAAGCAGGTGAGAAGTTTTTTCATCTTTACCTAAAAAAAATATTATGATTGTCCTTTCTCCAAGATATATCTGCTTGGTTTCTTATAGAAGTCTATGGGATATTCAGTACACTTCTCCAACACCATAACTCAAAGCCATAAATTCTTTTTTCTGTTATCCTTATTCATTGTCTAGTTCTCAGCAACATACCAAGTGACTGAAGAGACCGTAGCCTGAATTAGGCACACCTTATTCCTCAAACTGACATCATTATTCCTCAGTAAATTGGAGAGTAATTTGGCTACGGTCTTTCCAAATGCTACACATTTCTTGATCTGATCTCCTGATTTCTGGTACCAAAGATGTTGATTGTGGACCCAAAGAAGATGAAGTTGTTGACAATTTCAAACTTTTCCCTATCTATCCTGACCGGTGCAGTGGTGCATTTTTGTTTGTTTGTTTTCTTTTCTTAACTTTGAATTGTAATCCAGATTGAAGACTGAATCTATAACCTATATGAAAAAGAATATGGCATCACGATTGGAGGAGATTCACCAACAACCTGTGTTATGCAGATGACACAACTTCACTTGCTGAAAGTAAGAACTTGAAATGATTGCTATAGAAAGTTTAAATTAAAAAAAATGACAGTTCAAATACATCACCTTTTGAAGTTTGTGAGAGAAAAGACTCCATGATGACCAGATTGAGTAGATATGGTGAAAGGGTGGGAAAAGTAGAGGGTCAAAAAGAGAGGAAAAACCACAACAGGATGAAATGACTCTGACTGTAACAATAGTCTTGAGCATGCCCATGACTGAGAAGATAATGTCATTGTAGGGCAACGTTTATATATGCTGGTCATAGAGGTTCTGTGTGGTAGCTAACTCAAAGATACTTACCAACAACAAAGGGTAACAGTTTTATAGATTAATATTGTCAGGAAGAGAACAAATAATTCAACTCCCAGACTATTGATACAGCTTAAGGCAGTTAGTATTTGGAGAAATTCATTAACATGGGTTTGTGGAAAAAAGAATAATTTCAAACAGTGACCACTGATGCTTACAATAAAAAAATTAAAATGAAGGAAGAAAATTTATATCCATATAATAAGTCAAAGACTCATTGTATACATGAACAATGAAAAATCAAGATGTCTATTTGAATATGTGATATTCTCTGTTTTGAGGATAGCAGAAAAAACAAACTGTATTGACAAAGTGAATGCAACGATGGACTTTAGCATGACAGAGATTGTGAGGTTGGGAAAGAATAGAGCAAGATTTCTATTTGTTGTTCATCGGTTCATATGCAAGGGTATCTGTCAACAACGTGTTAAAGAACAAGCTACATTCATTCCGTGGTAAAGAAATGCAGTGGAGTCCTCCTCTGTGTGAGCAATTAATAGTACAATTAAGGACGTGAAGACATGGTAAAATTAAACTTAAACCATAAACTGGTGAGGTGTCCTTGTAAAAAAAGATGAACAAGGAGGCGGGGACGTCTGGATAGTGGACACACCCAGGTCTAAGAGTATATAAAATTCAGAGTCCAGACTATGGTATTTAAACTCAGAAACACAGAGAATCTTCTCACTGTGACACAGCTGAACTCCTATCCCGTCACCATGTCTTACAACTGCTGCTCCGGAAATTTCTCCTCTTACTCCCTGGGGAGTTCCCTGCGCTATCCAGTCTCCTCCTGTGGCTCTTCCTATCCCAGCAACTTGGTGTACAGTACAGGTCTCTGCTCTCCCAGCAACTACCAGCTGAGTTCTTCTTTCTACAGACGTGGTCAGGAGACCTGTTGTGAACCCAGAAGCTGCCATACATCTCGTGTGGTGTCCAGTCCCTGCCAGACATCCTGCTATCGCCCCAGCACCTCAACATCCTGCAGTCCTTGCCAGACACCTTATACTGGATCCCTGGGCTTTGGCTCCAGCAGCAGCTGCTCCCTGGGCTACGGCTCTAGAAGCTGCTACTCTGATGGCTGTGGATCCAATAGCTTCAGACCCCTGAGTTACGGAATCCGTGATTTCTCTTCCCTGGGCTGTGGATCCAGATTCTCTTACCCAAATTATCTGCCATCTAGGACCTGCCAGTCTTCTTGTTACAGATCAGCCTGTGGATCTGGCTTCTACTAATCAACTTATAATATCTTCTGTCCTTTAGAGGATAACTTTCTAGTCTCTGCTGAGACCTTTTCTCATAAGTTTTCTCAATCTTATATTAACTAATCCCTCTCAACATCAGTTCCTCATTACTCCTTTTAACATCAAGAATTTGTTGAAGACTACCTTGGACAGACTATGTAATTAATGAATGACCAAAATGCAAAGTCTAATGTCTATAATATTGAAACAAATGATTCAGAATCATGTTCTAAATCTCTCTAAATAGAAGGAGAGAAGTTCAATTGTGATTGACCTAATAAACTCATCAACTCTGGCATGTTGTATGTCATCATTATTCTTTAAAGTTTATTTGTACATTATTTTAGAGCTTAAGGTATTTAAAGTACCTTTCCTGGGAAATGGATTTGGACCTTGGGTGGCTTTGGGTCTAGTATACAGAGAAACTCTCTTGGGCATCTCACTAAGTTAAAGCAATCACCTGTCTTCTTCATCAAACTTGATAAGATTTTTAACGTTATTAGATCTTTGTAAGAGGTCAACATTCTCATGTTTTCAATGAGTATATTATATAATGACAATCATACATTACTTTTAGTTTCATTTTTTTAATATTTTTCATTGTTAAATGTTTTCTTTTCCTCCACATCAACCCACCCCACAACACACCCCTATTCATAGATTGTTGTAATACATATAATGTGTAATCATATATTCCTTTCAGAAAGTTCTTCCCCTTATCTATTCTAATGCAATGTTCATTATCTACCTGCTTGTTTCCCCATTCTTTCTCCAACATCCCCATCCCTAGCTGTCCTATTATATAATAGCAGGATTATGCAGAGTTTGTCCTTTTGTGACTGAGATATTTCACTCAGCATAATGCCCTCCAGACTCTCTCATGTTAATGTTTTACACATTCATTGTTTTTAAATACTGCATAATTTTCCATTGTGTGAATGAACCATAGCTTTTCTATCCATTTGTCTTTGATGGGCACTTGAGTTGCTTACATCTCTTTGCTATTATGAATAACACAACAGTAAACATACTGTTCATTCATCTGTTTGAGTCATGGATCTGGTTTCTTTAGGGTATATTCTCAATAGTAGAATTGCTGTGTCAAATGGTATTTCTCTTTCCAAATTTTTGAAAAAGCACCAGACCACCTTCCACAGTGGCTGTACCATTTTATCTTTCCACCAGAAGTGAGTAAGAGCTCCATTGTTTCCACAACAGCATCAGCAACTTTTATTTACTGCCCTGTTGAACTTTGCTATTATTGCTTAGGTGAGATAATATTTCATAGTTGTTTTTAATATAATGGATGAATGGAGCCTTCTAAGAATAAGCTCTCAATGTACATAAAAAAACTTCCCCAAAAGAGTAGAAAGGAAACTCAAAGACTGGGTAAAATACTTAGCAATCACATATTAGATAAGGGACTTATATCTAAAATTTATAGAATACGCTAGCACCTCAACAAGAAGAAGGTAAACAATCCAATCACAAAATGCACACAGGATATGAACAGACACTTCAGCAAACAAGAAATTCAGATAGCAAATAAAACATGAAGATATATTCAAAATTCCTATCTATCAAAGAGGTGCAAATGAAGATTTCTAGTTAAATTTCAAAAACAGTATTGATAAGTTAGAATTTTCACAACTTTAGTCTGGAGGAGAAAGGTGGACTTGATTCTGTGGTACAGGGTTTGTTTTTCTTTTTATTAGAAATACGTCATAATTACAAAACATATTACACATAGCATAGAGGTTTGAAGTAACTTATCAGATTGACATGGAAAAAAGAAAACATCATGTGATTGTATTAAAGGTCTTTACGGTTGTCTTCAAATGTATGGAAAATGTGTGTGTAATAGAAAAAGACACAAAGATGTTTAAAGAATGAAATTGAGGGGCATAAAAGGAGTTATATACAAACATTATGTTTTGACATAAGTAATTATCTACATAATTAGAAAATATGTATTTAAAAATCTTCAAGACATAGATGTTTTCATTTAAAATTATTATATGTTAAAAACCTCCATACTCTGAACGTTTTCTACTTATTCGAAAAGTAGCTCTTCTCCTCTCTGTACTCAATATTACAATACTGCTTTGATAATTCTTTTCAATGGCCATAGAAGACATATAGACGGTTCACATGATTACAAGATTTATAATAAATGTAACTGGTTATTATTCTGGTTAAATAAGAGTGAGGATTTATTTCCTACAGCATACTCTTTTAGGGCAAGTTCACAGGCAGGCCTCTGATCTTCAACTTCAATGTTTGTTCTGCTTAAGAAAGTGTCACAAAATTCTTTTAGCTCTGCCAGTTAGCTGCTCAGCAGTACCTCAACTCTACCAATAAGGGTTGTCCTCAAAATGTTCAAAGCTATCTCCAAAGATCAGGAAACATAGTGTTATTAGACCAAAGGAACCCAGTCTGCTGTAAGCATGTAACTCTCTCAACTCTGATTTCTGCCTTCTCTGCTGCTACATTCTCATCTTGTGCCATCTCACTATATCATGGCCTTGCAATTCTCCAATTCTGGTTCATGTAGAAATCTCAGACCCTGAGAATGCGCTTCCTTTTCTGATTCTTGTTTTTTGATTGTAGTAAGTTCCCCCTTTTGCACCTCTGCTATATTTCAATTTAAATCTGATGGCAAAATGTACTAATCCTCACACTAGTGTTCTACACATCCCCACCCAAAAGGTTCTTGTTGTTGTGTTGTTATGTGCCTTCGAGACACTTGCAACTCATAGACACCCTTTGTACAATAACCCTGACCCCTGCTCTATCCTGTGCCAACTTTACTGTCTCCGACACACTTGCCTTCATTACCCGAGTCACTGTATCAATCCATCTTATCAGTGGTCTTTCTCTCTTTCTCCATCCCTTCATCCTTCCAAGAATGATGTCCCTCTCCAAGGATGGATCTCTCCTTGCAACATGCCCGAAATATGTCAGATGAAGCCTCAAAATACTTGCCTTTGAGGAGCTGGCTGGCTTTACCTTCTCTAGGACGAAACTGTTTATTCACCTGGCAGTGCATGGGATAGTCAAAACTCTTCTCAAGCACCACAGCTCAAAGGAATCAATTCTCTTTCTATCATCCCTAGTCATTGTCCAACTATCTGATGCACAGCAAGCAATTGTGAAGATTAAGACCAGGATCAGGCACATGTTAGTCTCCAGACTGATGTTGTTGCCCTTCATACTCTGGAGAGGTCCTTGATAGCCAATTTTCCCAATGCAATTTTTCTCTTGATTTCCTGGCTGCTGGTACCAAGAGTGTCAATTATGGAGCAAATCAAACTAAAGCTGTTAACAATCTCAATCTCCTCTTTTTTTGTTTCCTTCACCAATCTGGACATAGTCATTCGGCACTAGATTAAGAAGCCCCATGGCAGTGGGGGGCCGGGGAGGTGGGTGAGGGTATGGTAGGGGCGGATGAGGTATCTGTGCAGGCCCGAGGGGCTGGCACAACAGTTAAGTTCTGAAATGGGCCTCAGTGTGCAGGGAGTTGTGGGGGTTCGTCAGTGCTTCTGTTTCCTGGGCTGCAGTTCTGCTTCATCTCTTTCTTTTCTTATGGTCACCACACTGGATCACCGTCCCCCAGCTCCCCCAAGAGCCTAAGTGTCAGGTGTGTTAAGGTGGCTGCAGCTACATCCATCGTGATGCTGCCAAATGGCCCAGTGGTGAGAATCTTTGTCTTCTTGATGTTGAGCTTCAATCTATATTGAAGGCTGCAGTCCTTTATCTTCTGTAGCAAGCATTTCAGATCTTCCTCAGTTTCAGCAAGCAACATTGTGTCATCTGCATAATGCAGGCTGTTGATGAATCTTCCACCAATCCTAATGCCACATTCCTTCTCACACATCCCAGCCTCCAGCATGATCTGTTCTGTATATAGATTGAAAAGGTGTGGAGACAGAATACATTCCTGACATACACCCTTCCTAATTTTGAACCATGGAGTGCGTCCTTATTCTGTTCTGACAACTGCCTCTTGATCTAGATATAGGTTTCACATGGCAAAATCAAATATTCTGGGATTCTCATTTTTCCCAGAGTCAGCCACAATTTGTTGTGATCTACACAGTCAAATGCCTTTGCACTGTCAATGAAACACAGATAGACATTTCTCTGATACTCTGTTTTCAGCCAAGATCCATTTAACATATGCTATAATATCCCTAGGACCATGAGTTCTTCTAAACGCAGCCTGCACATCTGGCAGCTCTTTGTTGACATGCTGCTCCAGTCATTTTTGGATAATTTTTAACAGAATCTTGCTTGCATGTGATATTAATAATGTTAGATAATTTCCACACTCTGTTGGGTCACCTTTCTTTGGAATAGGAACAAATATAGATCTCTTCAGTCAGTTGACCAGGTGGTTGTCCTCCAGATTTCTTGGCACAACTTGGTGAGCTCTTCCGTGGCACAGTCTGTTGAAATATGTCTGTTTGTATGCCATCAATTGCTGGAGCCTTGTTTTTTTGCCAATTCTTTCAGAACAGCTAGAAATTCTTCCTTCATCACCACAGGTTCTTGTTCATATGTTGTTTCATGAAATTCTTCTGTGTCAGCCAATTATTTGGATCACTTAATATTCTGCCAAAGACATTCTTAAGTATTGCAACTCATGGCTTGAATTTGTTCTTCAGTTCCTTCAGCTTAAGAAATGCTGAGCGAGTTTGCCTGTTTTGATTTTCTGACTCCAGCTCTTTGCATATTTCCTTATAATACTTTACTTTGTCTTCCCTAGCTGCCTTTTGACATATTCTGTTCAGCTCCTTAATTTGATTTCTTCCCTTTGCTTTGGCATCTCAGAGCTCTAGTACACTATTCGGAGTTTCATCTGACTTACATCTTGGTCTTTTCTTCCTCCTTTGTCATTGTAAAGACCTTTTGTACTCTTCCTGTATGATATTCTTGATATCCTCCCACAACTCATTTAGTCTTTTCCCATTGGTGTTTAAGTCCTCAAA